CAAATGAGGCTCGGCGATATTCCACGCTTAGCCTCATTTGCATACTTCTGGCGCAACAACCCGCCAGTGTAGACATAGCCTTGGTGTGCGGGTTACACTGGGAATAGGGGATGGAGGATGGAACATGTGATAATTCCCTGTTCTGTTCATTCCCTGTGGAACACCTGGGATTGGCCACTGTCAGAAGACAGACTAGTTGGGCTAGATGGAGTTTGATCTGACCTAGTATGGCTGTTCATATTTTTTCATGGGGCTAATATTCTGCTCACCATCATCTAGTCTCAGGCGAATCCTCTGTCTCTCCCCGTCCCCCCACTCCCTCCATCATATTCAGGAATCTCCAAAAGGTTATGCAGGAAACCATGCCTGTTATTTGTAATGCAGTAGATCAAAGGCAGGTGGCCAAGAACTGATGATATCCCCCCACTCCCTCCATCACATTCAGGAATCTCCAAAAGGTTCTGCAGGAAACCATGCCTGTCATTTGTAATGCAGTAGGTCAAAGGCAGGTGGCCAAGAACTGATGAGAACTTGCAATAATTTGGGTCTGTGGAGTCTAGGTTTTGTAGTAGATCTACAGATTCCCCAGATCAACAATAGACAGTACATTAAAGCTTCAATGCCTAAAGTTCCTCCTCCACACAAGCTGACAATATATTAGTGAAATTATTTCATCCATTTCACTCCAATTGCTAATTCATTCATAGTTCCCCAGCAAAGCAAAAATAAATAAATTAAAACCCCAGGTCTGTGATAAATAATACTGACAACTCTCCTATGCGATTCTGATACCCATTCATTTTATTTGCAACTTTTCAGATAAACGTGTCTTTTTCAACTCTGGTATGTGAGAAAAGGGATGAGCATCTTTAGTCCAAATTGATTCAAGAATAACATTGTACTAAATCATTCCAGCAGATCTGCTACTTAACGTAAGTCCTGTGTCCCCCATGACATGGAAAATCAACATTTCTCCCCTTTTCCCCAAAGGGATCATAACATTTAATCCAGTGAGTTGAGCTACCTCTATATTATCTGTCCAGACATATTTATCTGCACTAGAAACGTTTGTCCTGTATAAAAGTGTAGGCTAGTGGTGTGACTTTTGGAGCTCTTATGTGTATATAAGTATGTCAGGATAAAAGCACACTATGCCACTTTCCAAAGCTATAAACACATTTACACTGACATTAGTGGATCCATGCTAGGATGGGGGTTCCTGCTTTAACTGTATCGCTACCTCTTCAAGAGTAACAGTGACAACAACAAACATACAGGAGTGGAAAGGAAGAAATGACAGACAAAGGTGGAGTGCACAGAAGAAGTCTCTGAGATTGTCAGGGGGGAATATTATGATTTTGTACAGCAGAGGCTGGTTTTCTAAGGTGCCCTGGTGAATAGCTCTTTATTCCACTTGAAGTAGCAGTTCCAGTTAATAGAGGCGCTCCATTTCCATAGCAATGCTGATGCTCAGGGAAATATGGTGAATCCCTCATATGCCTGTGAAGCTGAGTGAGGGCAGTGCAGGGCAAATTCACTGCTGGTGTGAATGGGCCCAATTCATTAGAGGGCTTCCCACCAGGCTAGTGCTGGATGCAACCAATTAACCATGGAACAAGGTTTGAACTTGCCAAGTGATCAGTTATAGCCCATTGCTCTGCTTTTACAGTTTAAATGTATCACTTACTTAAAACAATAAGGACAGAGATTAAAGTATGAGACTCTGATCTAGGAAAGAACATTCAAGCATAAGCTTAACTTCCATCTGATATTCCAAGCTCATGACTAACATCTACTCTGCATGCCACACTGCCGCAGACAACACACGCTGCATAAATAACACACGTCTGGAGAAATTGGATGAGACCCCTGATTCCTCATTTCTAAAACAAGTCATTAAGCACGTAAATGAAAAAAATGTCCTTCTTATTTAGTATTATTCCCTTAATTTCCATAGGGACCAACCACTAGAGAGTGATGGTGCATAGACCAGTACATAAAGCCAACGCATTAGTGTATGGCTGTGTCTACATTGGCCCCTATTCCCTAATAGGGATGCAAATGTAGCACTTTGGAATAGGCAAATCTGCGGGGGATTTAAATATCCCCCGCGGCATTTGCATTAACATGGCTGCGGCTTTTTTCCGGCTTGTAGATAAGCCGGAGAAAAGCACCAGTCTGGACGCGATCGTCCAGAAAATAAGCTCTTTTCCGGAGGATCTCTTATTCCTACATGCGGCAGCCATGTTAATGCAAATGCCGCGGAGGATATTTAAATCCCCCACGGATTTGCCTATTCCAAAGTGCTACATTTGCATCCCTATTACGGAATAGGGGCCAATGTAGACACAGCCTATGTGTATAGAGTGGAATAGGAATCAAATGAGATGTGTGGTACGTTGCCCTTGGGCTGGCCCTCTGCAGAAGGCTGGATTTCACCTGATAAGTCTTCCTGATCCTGGAGGCCAGTCGATACTGGCTCTGGCATGAAGAAGAGATGCTTAGAGTTTGTTCTTACTTGGTCCACTGGCCTTGGACCCCCATCAGCATAATGTTGCTCTGCCATGACCCATCTCCAGCTTGAATACTTCTCTTGGGCTTTGTCTAGACTGCAGACATCTTCCAGAAAAACTTCTTCCAAAAGAGAGCATCCACACACAAAAGTGCATTAAAAAGCGGTCTGCTTTTACGAAAGATAGAGTCCACACTGAATGGATGCTATCTCGCATTTAAGCTGTGATTACTATGGACAGAGTGAACACCTGCGCTTTTTCCTCTTTCCTCTTTTTTCGAAAGAACTCCCTCTTCCCCGTCCACACATGCCTTTTTCCGAAAGAGCTCGTTCGGAAAAAGGCTTCTCCCTCATAGAATGAGGATTACCAATTTCAGAAAACCTCCTCTGTTCTTTCGATTTTCTTTCGGAAGAACACAGTTGCAGTGTGGACGCAATTGAATTTTTTTCAGAAAAATGGCTGTTTTTCTGACACAACTCTGTAGTGCGGATATACCCTTTATCAGTGAGTATGGGAGGGGCGGCAGCTTGTATTGGAAACAGCTCTTCCACCTACTGCCCCATGCCCCTGCCAACAGGGGAATTTTCTGGTCATTTGAACCCAAAGTCTGTCCCCTTTGTGCTGATTTGGTGGGGGAAGGAAGTTGAGCTGAAGTGAGAATGTCATAGAATCATAGAACCATAGATCTGGAAGA